TTTTTTTATAATGAGATCAATCATGTTCTTGAAAATTGAAATCTCCCCTTTATAATGAGCCCGTAAAACTAGCTGTACGATTTTTTTTTTCTTTTTTTTTGCCATTTTATTGAACTTTAAACAATAATTTTTAATGAGTTGTAGCAAAAAATGACGTCGTATGCAAGTCATTTGAGAAAATGAATTTGATTTCGAAATTTCGAAAACGAATAAGCTGCAAAAAAAAAAATTTACACTACACAACATAATTATACTAATCATACTTACAAATATAATTTATAAACTAATCAATATTTGTAGAAACATTTCTTTGATACTTCCAAGTTTTTATAAAATCAATTTTGCTGGATTCATTCAGACTCTGAAATTACACATTGGAGTAAGTAAAAAACGTCATGTCTAATTCATATCTAATAATGTTGTTAAAATATATTTCAATCAATTTTTTCTAATACTTTTAAATGGGTGTAAATAATCAAATATATAATGAATTTTTCATCCCAATTTCCATCAATCGCTGTTTTAAATCGTTATATCGAAACAGATGTGGCTATACTATCCATATTAATTTTTATATTAATTCTCAGTACTAGCGGTGCAAAATCTGTCTAAATCGATAATAGCACGGAATGTAACACGAAAATGGTAAGGAGGACCCTTCGAACCTTGAAATTATGAGACAAAAGAATACATTGTATGTTAGGTCTACAGCCACCAAATTAGCCAATTTTTTCATAGAAATTTTGTGGATTTACGGAATTCGAATGACTTTTTTGTGTAATACATAAACGAAAGTTTTCATTCAGAACAACAATGGTAGTTGTTCATACACGTATACTACAGTTCGCGTATAACGTGCCACAAATTTGCGCATCAACAACTTTCTGATCCAACTCTATCCTCGCTTAAAGCTGCCGCCACACTCAGATTTCTGACGTGAAATCTGCTTCGAATCCTGGGAATTTGAGGTCTCATTTTCCCTCGAGGATTTCTTAGAATCTGTATTATCATATTTTGTCATTTTTATATGGAATGGAAAAGGGAATTTTTCCTTGTATTGTAACGTCGTTCTTTCTTGTTATGCGTTACTCCAATCGTTCGTCTATTTCCCCGTTTATTTGTTTCATTCTTCCAATTCCTTCCTCGAAGGTTCCCTAGTTGCTAAACATTTCGCCGATGAAATGTACAAACGTTTCTCGCATGTCTTTGCAAATATTATCGAAGGGAAACCTGTCAGGCACGTGATAGAGAAATCTGTCAAATACACGATTGAAATGAGCTTGGAGAAAAATCGGACAACCGAAACCTTCTCTTATTTCAACCGAAACCTGGAATTTCTAAAGAATTAATAAACAAGGCAAACACAGTTGGCTTATTTTCGCAAACATTTCCTTCTCTCCTGAATATCTCCCATTTCTCCAACGAACAAATTCATTATGTTATACATGTTATATTATTGTAATCCAAGCAACATTTCTGTCATCATTAATTACATTTCCATTATGACGTCTTAATTAAATTTATTAATTACGTTCTTCTTGGAATTGAAATCTCGTTGAAAGCAGATTCGCGAACGATCAGAAATATTTGCGTACACGTTACACACGTTTCCATTCGATTCTTGTTTACTCTTCGCAGAGCTTTTATTTCAGCCGCGTCGACTCGCAGATTTAGAGGAACGTTCGTCGTTGGTTGTAGAACTGATGCCAAAAACGCGCAGCCCGTCCAATCTCATCTTGCGACTGATGAAAAATAACATCGTCCCCGCACGCGCGCTATTTAATTTTAATAAAATGACTAGCAAACTGCTAGCAGCAGCTATGAGAGTTGCACGGACAATTTAACTTCGTGGAGTTTAAAAACAGAGGTTCCTTCGTCGTTTCTGTTTTGCTCATCGTTCCAGCATTTTCAAAATCTTTCGCAAGTGCAATCAAAAGGACGATCTGACGTTGTACGAAAAACAAACATTAATAGGTTCATTCACCTTATTTTCCAGATATGTTCTAATCACTATTCAAATGCATTACAACGTTACGTACACGATATCAACAGGTATACAACCTGATGTTATCAGAGATAATAACTTTACCAACGAACAATTCACACGCACGCGCGCGCGAATTTAGGAGAAGATAGGCACGATCCATATCGATAATTCAGAAACAAAACAAGATCAGTGAGGAAGCAAGCGAGTATTTGTTCCCGAAAACTTTGCATCCGACTTAATTTCATCTCGCAAATTTTATATCACATCGACGTCACAGTTGTCCTTTGAATTTCCGTCCGCTTTCCTTCCTTCTCCCTTCGTGCCCCACCCTCTATTTTCCTTCCTCCTCTTTTTTCTTTTTTTTTTTTTTTTTCGTTTCTTTCTTTCAACGGACCGACAATTTATGTTTTTTCGCTGGCAAGCCAGAGATTTAGAGGGACAGCAAACGTGGTTCTGGAATTCGTGCCAAAACCGTGCAATCTGAGCGATCGAGAGCAGCGTTCCGCAAGCAACATAGGTCGAAAAAATCTGCTTCGTCATTCGATGGCATCACGAGGCGACTTGTTCAACGAATCTACACCGTCACTCTTCTACTTACATGCTTATCGCTTGCAATTCATTCCGCTCTTGCCAGATAAGTCATTTTTATCGGACCAATGTAAACATATAATAGTAATAATGTCAAACAAAATGTCAAACGTTGTAATTGGCTATTATTACAGTTTTGTAACAATCGATAGATAACAGAGAGAAATTAATTACCAAATTTAATTTGGAAGTAACATACCAATATATCCATTTTTATTTCGTTTTATTTATTTCCAAATTTTACTTCCTGCTGTGAATATCAAATGATTTGTACCGATGTTTAATTCCTAAATCTTAAATAGAATTAAATAGAAATGATCAATTTCGATAAATGATTGCAACTGATGTGAAAATGTACCTTTCTCTTTTTTTTGCAGCTATTTATAAAAATATTAT